GGGGGGGGGGACGCGAAGACCGGCTTCGCGCGTTGAATGTGGTTCGCAGTGTGTCCAGGGGTGCTTGGATGAGCACGATACTTTCACCCAGCTTTTTCACTTCTCCATTTCTAGCTTTCTTGCAGCCCCTATCCCTTTTGCCTGGATGCCTCGAAGGTCCCCATTCGCGCACGCATTTCAAGAGGTGATCAGGACTTTGCAAAGGCGTCAAATGAGCCGCCCTGCTCCACCTTGTACGCCCTGATTTGAGCGCCGACGGCCGCAAGCAAGCGCAAGTCTGCCCCCCTCCCCCCGCCTCGCTGTGTCACGACTCGGCAATTTGGCGTAGGAAGACGACGCTTTCGCGCCGTGTATGCGCGCCCTTGATCAGCATCGGGACGACAAATGAGCACCTTCACGGCTCAAAGAATCAGGCAGTAGCGCCTAGCTATGTTCGCTTGGGGAGGCGTTCATTCTGACTGCGACAAGATGTGAGATGGGTCTCATTCGAAATTTTGACACTACCATCGACATCAGGCTGCGCCGCAGGGGAACCGACAAGCAACGTCTAAGAGGTGCTGATGGGCAATCATTGCGACAGTCCTTCGGTTTGCTTTTGCTTTTTTATCGTTATTTTTTGTTTTTGTTTTTTGTTTTTCTTTTTTTTTCTTTTTTTTGGTTCGCATCTGCGCAGCGTCCTGCGCTGCCAGGTCGTTAAAAGTAGACAGTCACAGTGAGTTGTTTCTCTCGCAACGACACCCAGGTTGAGACTTTCCAACGTCCAATGCCCTGCGCACGGGCAGATCCTCAGCCGCACTCCACTCTGCAAGGCAAGCCCCCATTTAATGCGAAGCCCTACTCTGGCCAGCAGAGTGTGGAGCTCGAAAGCCAGGCAGAGTTCACGATTAGGCACCAGCGACATGCCTCTCCCGCCCGCGCGCACGAATTGGATGTTGCTGGTGCGCACCAACTCGGCCAACTTATCGGATTCCGAAAGAATAACGATCGTAGATATATTCACGAGTCCTTGCGCATTGCATTGCACGCCCTCCGCAGACTTCTGCTCGAAGCGCCCAACGGCTTACTAGAGAAATCGGCTCTGGATCCGCGAAGATGCAAATGAGCACCGGCAGGCCCTTTGAGCCGCCATTTACAGAGTCTCACAACGCCCGGGAATAACAAATCGAGCTGTGCAAGGATATCGGTGCACTTGCGCATCAGGGACGGCAAGGCGCCAAGGCGCTCTGCCGACCAAGACCGTGGAAAGTAGCCTCAGACGGGCCAAAGGCGACCCGCAACTCGACATCTGCACAGCCAAGCCATTCACACTTGCTTACTCAGTTGCGTGTACAGGTCAGCGCCGTGGGGCTGGGTTGATCATTGAGCGCCGGGTATAATTACGCTTTGCTCACCCCGACCTCAACGTATGCTCTCTCCAAGGTCGTCTCGACTGCCTGGCTAATGCCTAT